GCATAAAGCTTTCCAGTGAATTTTGTATTTCGGATGAGATTGAAACTAGACATTTTAATGATTGTGGTTTTGACTCCGTGACAGGAGTTTATGGCATACTCCTGACCATTTGGAGAAAAGCCACCTGAGAATAATGTGGAATGTGGCATAAACCTAGACTTTCCAATACAGTTTGTGGTAGAATACATCTATTTGCCCTTTTAAAGTGTCAGAAAATGATTTCTGTAAAGAATGTGTGGCTCATGCACCAAGGATTTCTTGTTAGAGGCACATCATGAACAGCCCCCACACCCAAGTTGTTGGTAATATTTTTACAAGTTGGTTTAGGTCGACACTTGAATGTTATTTTTAAAAGGAGCACTTCTGCTTCCTGTTCAGTTTTAACAAAGGCAAGAGTTATGTCTTGCTAAAAGGAAGTGCCTCTATGTGAGAATATGAATCCCACTGTTTTCCAAGAAAAGGGCAGTCCAGCAAGCTAGTTTCACTTTCAAGGCTTAACTTCCTTTCTGCAGTTTACAGAGCGATTGTTTATTTCTAGGCCCGCCTTGGCTATTTGAAATGCTGCTGCAAAAATTGAAGTTGAGTTGAGTTAAACCAATTTAATACCTGGTTGCTTTGCAACTAGGAACAAAGAATGAGGCGAACTTACCTGTCAAAAGAGCATTGTTAGTGTCAGGAACTGGAGTGTGGGTGTTCTTTCCAGGAACTGAGCTGGCAGAAGAAACAGGCAGAAGCAGGCCTGCAGACAGAAACTGAAATTTGGTGCCAAGTCAGTAGACAGCCTTGAAAGAGTCAAGAGCTAGAAGCAGGTTTATTGGTTCACATCTAAAGTCTGTAGCTGATGCTCTTTTTTGGATTGCTTTCTGTTGCAGTGTCAAGACTTTTGGTTCCTGGTAAATTTTTTGCTTACTGGTTGGCTTGAACATTTTAGAAATCTGAATACATTTTATCTATCTTCATACATACCATTGTTCTTATTATTTTAATTGCATAAATATGCCGTAAGCCCCTTTGGGCATTTTATTTCCAGAAGGGAGGAATTTAAATGGTTTTAATACTTAAGTAAAGACAAACAAGGTTCTCAGGGGTCCCCAGATGTTTTTGGCCTTCAACTCCCAGAAATCCTAACAGCTGGTAAACTGGCTGGGTTTTCTGGGAGTTGTAGGCCAAAACACCTGGGGATCCACAGGTTGAGAACCACTGCTGTAGAGGAAGAGATAGTGTCACAGGTGACATACTAGGTTGTATCTTGCTTCTGAAAGGAGACCAACTGGCCCACCAGCCTATGTGATGTGGGGTTGCAGTTGGTTCTTACAAGTATCTGGTTTTGTTGGGAAACCCTAATGACTGACTGAGGAGGCTTCACAAAGATAAAGAAACATAGGTGATAATGAAGCAATGATATGCGTTTCTGCTAGCAGCTAAACAGTCATGGATGTCTCCTGGTGCCTATTACTTAGAGAGGAGGCCTCAAGAGGGTGCCTGTTTGTCAGTCACATGCTTTCTCTACAGCTGTATTTTTAGATACAGAATTTAACAGCATGAAAATGATAGTTGCAGAAGTAGCCACACTCTGATGTGTGATTAGATGTTACAACTCTCCAGTTATTTTTAAAATTATTACATGACTGAAGTATACCTAGAGTCTTTAGTTTTCCATCTTCTCTTGTTTGAACCTTAGGTATTTACTAGAAGTACCTAACAAAATGCTAAGGGTTCAATTGGTGATGTTGCTTCAGGCCCCCCACAGGCTATGGTTATAGTGTAGTGAAGGGGAAGGCTGTAGTTTATAATAATAATAATAATAATAATAATAATAATAATAATAATAATAATCACTTTATTTATTATACCACCCGATCTCCCCATAGGGACTTGGGGCGGTTTCCAACAAATTGGCAAACATTCAATGCCGTAAGATGCTGGGCGAAGAACTAAATAAACAAAACCAAACAAGTCCCACAAAAATCCACATTAAAATAATAAAGACATTACCAAAATTGAGGGACAACAACATATCCTTTTCTTTCCTCAATAACTTTTAAATTCTCACACTATTCCTGATATTATCAATATCTTATGTTATTTTAATGAAAATACAGGCGATCAGGTAATAGTGTTGCTGAAGCTGCAGGGCAGAAAATCATAGGTAAATTCTTTTGTGATACTGTTGGCTGCATTTAGGATTTTATTCTATTTAATTAATTTCTCTGATATTAGTTCCAGAATAAACCACACCTTAATCATCTTAATTTGGACTTGACTTCAAAGAGCCTTCTGATAGTTTATCATCCTTCTCTAGTGTCAGCAATCTTATCACCGGCATCTCATGTAACTCTTAGCAGTCTTTCCAACTAGAAACATTCAGTCATTTTGAAATGTTTTCCATGATGTTTTTATGAATTATGACTACTTTTTAAAACTTCTTGCAAACTGCCTTCTGATTTAAGCACTTCTTCCTTGAAGGCAACCAAAATTTTGAGGTATCAAGGTATTGGCATCCTGAATATTTAAAGCTGACATACCCATAGACATTCTGCTTTATTATTATGGATAAATAGTCATAATTATTATTTCCTTGAAGAAAGCTACAGGGTGCAGCAGCATAACTTCCTTTTTTTCAAAACTTAATAAAACCCGTTGTATGAATCAGATTTTTTTTTATAATGTAGACTCATACCTAAAGTTTTATTTTACGTAGTTTTGAAGATCAAATTAGGTAGGTGACGTCCATACACTGAGTAAACCGATTTCTGGCGTTTGTCATGAGTCTTGCCAAGTATAGCAGGCGCTCTGTTGGCAATTTCTTCCTGGATGTTGGTCTTCAAATCTTGTATGGGTTTTTTTGAAATCTCGTGTTTATGTGAACCGTCCAAGGACCCTACAAGATTTGAAGATCAACATCCAGGAAGAAATTGCCAACATATGCTGTGCTGGCAAGAGTAATCACAAACGCCAGAAATCGGTTTACTCAGTGTATGGAGAATGGGGACGTCACCTACCTAATTTGATCTTCAAAACTACGTAAAACAAAACTTTAGGTATGTGCCTACATTTAAAAAAAATCTGATTCATACAATGGGTTTTATTAAGTTTTGAAAAAAGGAAGTTATGCTGCTGCACCCTGTATACAGGGTTTCTTGGTGATCCTTTATAGGCATACATTCTTCATTGGCCTCCCCATCTCTGTTCATAGCAACAGTGGAGTTAAAACCTCCCCTCCATAACCTTTGCTATGTACATATGTCAAAAAGCATCAGTGCATTGCTGAAGCAGAATAATGTTTGATTGACATTGAGCTTTTGTTTATCTATAAACATAAATGGTGGGGGAATAATTATCTTAGAAGTGACATTTTGTGTCGTGGCATTAAAAAAAAAACCCTGCAGCTTCAGATTCAGATATTTCCCAGACCCTGCATAAAGTTTTGCCATCTACAATGGAAGGTGATTGAAGGCCACATGTAGGACACAGTTTGTTGCCATCCCCTGCTCTAGAGTGTGTATATTCCAGGAATACCATTTCTACAGAGTTTGCTTTTGAATTGCAAAGAAGAGGAACAGCAAAGGGAACTTAAAACAGCAGAGAGGTTTCAAGCACTGGAAGGGGTTACAGCTGTCCATTATTTATATTGCTAAGCGCCCAATCCGGCTATCACCATAATTCCTTCTGAATAGTGAGCTAAGCTATGCTAACAATTGTGTTGTCACCTGTATGTTATCTGTGCACTTGGGGAATACCTTGAAGTTTTCACACAAAACACTATATAAAGATGTGGAGAGTTTGCATATATGTGTGTTCACATGGAAGAAAGAGGAAGCAGGAGGAGCGTGGAATAATTGATTGCAAGGCCATTAGCCGAGTCCCAAACACAGTCACACCCTTCCTGGTGTTATTGCATCATTGCTGCCAGTCTGGAGATTACAGTTAGTTCCTCATGGCTTGAAGAAGTACAGAATAATGTCTGGGTTATGTGATGCTTGTTGCTGATAGCCAGAGACTGTGCTTTGCTCCAGCAATGTGCAAAGTCCAAATGTTTGCTAGTGCTTTTCCTGGCTTAGTGATAGTGCAAGAAGAGGTCACTTGCTGGAAGCATTCTCAAATTAGAATAGTTCCCTCACAGATATGCAGGTTCCTTCTTAAAAAAGAAAAGAATGTACTAATTTGTATAGCTGCCAAGCACCAGATAAGAAATGTAAAAGGGACAGTGCATGTCATCTAAATATCAGAGCTGCACACCAATATTTCTTAATTTTTTTCTATGTTCTGTTCTCGTCTCCATATGTATCAGGTGAAGCATACGTAACCAGAATTTGGCAGATCGTCCATCAGCTTAATTTATTATTCATAAACTTGAAAGAGGGGAAAATAGCTGCCCTGTTTGGCCATTCACAGCTCTTAATATTGTAATATACCCCGGGGTGGGGGTGGGGGGTGGGGTGGGACTAACCTGTGTAGTTCAGCCTTGATATCACATACTTGACAGATAGATCTTTCTCATATGCACATACACACTCGCCATCCATACTGGGTGAAATTCTTCCTGCCCAAATGAGGCATGGACAAGGCTATAATGTTCACGTTCCAGGTTGGATTGAATATTGTACAACAAAACATTTTAAAGCTCTGGGAATATACTGCAACATTTTGTTTCCGATCCCTTTTATAATTTTGCTAATGACCACTTTGAAACATGTTTTTTCCCCTTTCCCTTGGGGAAGTGTGATTTTTAGATGGATGCTTTAACAAAATGTATAAAAACTGTAAATAGCTTGTTTGGAAAATATTGCAGAAAAGTTTGGCTTAACTTTGCCAAGTAGTCAGTTGATTTTTCAAGTGTTGTGCCTTGCTGATGTTGTCTTCTGTCAAGTAGCCACAGTGCTCTTTTGTATCTGGATCCTAGACAAGCATTCAATAATTTGAGAATTGGTTGTGTCTCACTGACAGTTATTATTGGAATCTTATTTGTAATACTGTTTTCTGTTAAATTTGTCTTTCAGCACTCTGGTGAAATTAGGAGATGGCAGTGATGGAAATTGTTTGCCAAGACACTTCAGTCCCAGCTATTGGACATCCAAAGGAACTTTCAATGGGCAAAGGGCCACAGAAAGGAGCGAAGGGAAAAACAAACAGTGTCTGCAAAGTAGAAGATCCAGACAAGCATGTATTCCAGGGCCCATGGACGATCCTAAGTGATGTGATTGCTAAGGGAACTGCCAAGGAAGACAGTGAAAAGGGGAGCTTAACCTCAATCTCCATTATTGCCCAGGCAGAATGTAAGTGAGGAACAGGAAGCTATACTTTTCTGTGTTATATCCTTGAGAACAATATCAAAATCCAGAGTTAAAAGCTAAAGGGCTAAAGACTGGACAAACACAACAAGTACCAAGCAGCAAGAGGACAATAATCTCAAATTAACCGTTAAGGGGATATCCCACAGGCTTAGATATCTTTACACTAATGCCCAGATAATTGGAAATAAACAAGATGAACTGTAACATTGAGCACAACAAGACAGTTATGGTGTAATAGGCATAATTGAAACCTGGTGGGACGAGTCCTGTAATTGGAATGTAGCAATGGGGCTTCTTTCAGAGAAATAGACCAAATAGAGGGGGTGGAGTAGCATTATATGTCAAAAATATTTACACCTGTGAAGAGATGCAATACTTTAATCCTAGAAACCAGGTTGAGAGCATCTTGATAAGAATTAAGGGAATGAGGATTGAAAAAGATGTAGTTGTGGAGGTCTACTGAAGACTTCCAAATCGGACTAAGGTACTGGATGAAGCCTTCCTTGAATAGATGACCAAACATTTATTTTATTGATTATTTCCAGTATTTCTATCCCGTTCCTTCTAACCCCCGAAGGGGTACTCAGGAGGGCATACTTTTGTCAGCAATTCGATGCCACTACATATAACACAATTTATTGTTTTAACAATTAAAACAATAAGTAAAAACATTCATTAAAACAGTAAAAAGAGTATTAATAGTTGTAACGTCATTCCAATCAATTCCATATGCAATTCCATGTCTAAAGTGCTATCTATGTCTGTTGTCCAAAAGCCTGGTCCCAGAACCACGACTTCAATTTCTTCCTAAATGACAGGAGGGACGGAGCCGATCTTACCTCAGTGGGAAGCAAGTTCCACAGGCGGGGGGCCATGGCCGAGAAGGCCCTGTCTCTTGTCCCCACCAGACATGTTTGTGACACTGGCGGGAGTGAGAGCAGGGCCTCTCCGGATGATCTTAAACTGCAAGACAGGATATAGAGAGAGATGCATTCGGACAAGTACGCTGGGCCAGAACCTGCAAAAAGAAGATATATAGTAGTAATGGGGATTTCATCTAATCTAATATTTGTTGGAAAACAAACTTTTCCCAGCGTACAAAGTCCAGCAACCTCCTCATTGCCTTGCAGATGGTTTTATTGTTCAGCTATTCTGGTTATTTGAAACCAGTTGTGCAGCTGTTTAAATAGTGTCTTGAATTTTGACACCCCCCCCAAGTCACTCACACACACTGATAGAATGCTTGTTGTTGGACTTTTAGGTTGTAGACCCTGCACTACTCCTTGTTATAGGCAAAACAAGTTTCCCTAAAAGAATGTGGTTATGGAATATTCTGCCTCACTTAGGCTTTTGTTGACCTTGTTTGATTTCTCCCCAGGTGAGATCAGCCAGGAGTTCAGCCCCACTTATTCAGAGAGGCCATTTATTGCTGATACCAAGCGATACAAGTAAGTAAGACCTCTGTGCAATAAGGATTACAAATTTCAGTTATAGGCAAAGATGATAAAACCACATTGGATGAGGAACATACATTTTCTACTTCGGGCTGACTTCCTGTACTCGGACAGTGTGCTACACACAGTCTTTCAAATTACTGTACTCGAAAGTACAGTGCACAAATATTTCCTTAAGGCAAGATGTTGATGGCGATTTAAAACAGTGTTGCTGAAAGATGGTCTGAAATTTTTTTAGACAATCTTCCCTAATATTTAGTGGTTACTATTCCACTAAATTAAGGATCCTCATATAAGGGTTCCAAATGATATAGACTTTGAACTATTTTTGGAACTTAATTGCAAAATATATTGGAAAGAAATAGACTTAAAACACCAAACTAAAATTGGTTGCACACATTCTTATTTACACAATGTCTTAAATGGTATATTATAGGCATTGTCCATTATTTTTATTCTGTAGTTTCTTATATCTTACTGTGCTTTATTCCTCTTGGTGTGTGACTTTGTCCACCTTGTGCAACTGTGGAGGAGAACAAACAACTCATCATCTGTATGCCTGTCCACAATGCCCTGTCTCATGGACAGAGGAAAAATTGTTTAAAAAACTACAGACAATGTGGTTGATGTTGCCCGTTTTTGGTCAAAAAATTATTTAGCCGCTTGTGTTTCCTCTATCAGTTTTATACTAATTTATTTGTGCAGTGCTTTTGACACAAAATAAATAAACTTCTTGGTGTGTAATGCATCAATGTCCCCTTTCCTTTGTATACTTTTTAAAAAGTTGAATCTCCTTGCAATGCATACCCTTTTCTCTGACAGCCGATCTTCCAGCCTTGATCAGATCCCCAACAATGTGGCCCATGCAACCGAGGGGAAAATGGCACCTGCTCATTGGAAGGGCATACACCGAAGTAAGTCCCGGAAGAAACGACGGAAGAAGAAAACTCACGTCAAGTCATCTGAGGGAGCAACCTCCTTAATTCAGAAACCAAGGACTCCAGAGCAGGAGAGCTGTCTCCCAGTTCAGGTGAGGTATCTTCTTTGTCACATCAAATCATATCCAGGTAGAGCACTAAATAATTCCACATTGAAATGAATTTTCAGCTCTGTAGAGGGCTGATTCTTGAATGTTTTGAGATAACTTTGCTAGATCGGTTCATTGGGGCTTGTATTTTAAGGGCAGCTGTTCTCATGTGGTTTGTTACTCAGCTATCTCTTTTCTTTTCAGGAGGATGACTCCTGCTTGAACACTCCCTTCAAGAACACCTCATGGCATTCAGAACCACTTAAAGATTTAGGCTGTGATGCCCATTGCTTCGAAAAACCCAGCCATGCTCACAATGTGAACTTGCTGAAGAACCAGACTAAGCTAGAGTTGCACAAGCTGATTAGTCCTGCTCAGTGCTTGAGCCATGTTTGGAAATCCCACACTCTGGACAACTTTGTCCCTCAATCAAAAACACTCTACCCTTTTCCTTGTGACCCATTCCCTCCTTATTTGCATGGCTACGATGCCTTAATTCCTGCTCTGAAAATTGGTCCACTGGGGACATATCTCTTTGATGACCTCTCCTGTGTCAATGGCAAGAAAGGCCTCTCAGACCTGACCTTGGAACATAGCCTCTCCAAATGCAGCCTTCAGTCTGTAAAAACACCACCAGACAAGCTTTCTATAGATGAATTTTTGGTGGATGCCTTAAAGGGAAGTGTTATTCTTGGGGAACCAAGAAACTTAGCTTGTTTGGTGAAGACATGGAAGGAAGATGGATTGAGTTCAAAAACGAAGCTTCAAGGGATTAATGAAAATGAAGGTGTACTACTTACTGAAGTGAGTATTTGGGTGCAAAAATGTTGGGGATTTTGGGATATATTATATTGCATTCTGTAAAGAACCACATCTGGGGCTGTATTTGATCTAGAGTTCTGAAAATTTAATTTTTTCAGAAACCTTTCAAAAGCATTGTTACTGGCCTTGAAGGTGAGAATTCAAATTATGCATGTGATCTTCCTTGTTGAGTATGAAATTGAGACAATAGAGGTAATGGAGCTGAGTCAAAAAGGGGCATAGATGCACATTGCCTATAAAGTGGGACGGCAAAGAAACATGCCATTTGAGTGGCACCTACATGACATGGCTCCTAAAAGTATAACATAGGTTCATCAATACCTGTTTTTTTTTAAAAAAACTATATAATGCAGGTCTTCCATGTAGAAGAGGCTTGTTTTACAGACAGTTAAAACTGGCAGAATATGCCATTGTAAAAGTTTGAACAAGATCCGTTTTATATTGTCAGAAGTAATTTAGTAAAACAGTAATTTGCAAAACAGAAAAAATCTGGGACCAGAATTATGTCTGTGAACAAATTACTTGCTTCCTGAAATAAGGAGACTCATGCAAGATCTACCAAAATTGCATGAGCCATAATTTTAAAATGTCCTGTGGAGGGCCTGTTACCCAAAATTGCCAACTCCCACATAATTTCAGCATAGGGTAACAATAAAAAAGTTGGATATATTGGGTATCTTATCTAACATGGGTAGGCCTGAGTAAGAGTTTGCAACATAATTTATACATGGAAAAGTTGAAGCATCCTGGGCTCTTTTTAGTTTGAAAAAAAGAGATAGCCAGTCAGCAGATGTGATAGGTTTTAATATCATGGATAAAGTACAAATCTGTTTTTTGATATACCATAGGTCACGACATAAGAAATTCAACCTGTGTCGTGGGTAGATCCTTGATTTAAGATGTGTAGATGAAAACACTTAACACAATACATAATTTATGTAACTGTTTTCATGTCAGAAGTGACTTCAGAAACCGCAAGTTGCTTCTGGTGTGGGGGAGATTGGCTGTCTGCAAGGATTTGCCCAGGGGATGTCCGCCTGTTTTACCATCCTGTGGGAGGTTTCTCTCATGTCCCCGCATGGGAAGCTGGAGTTAACAGATGGGTGCTCACTCTATGTAGCACAATGGTTCTCAGCCTTTGGGTCCCCAGATGTTTTGGCCGTCAACTCCCAGAGATCCTAACAGCTGGTAAACTGGCTGGGATTTCTGGGAGTTGGAGGCCAAAACACCTGGGGACCCACAGGTTGAGAATCACCGGTCTAGCGGATTTGAACCGCCGACCATCAGGTCAGCAGTTCAGTAGGCACAAGGGTTTAACCCATTGCACCACCACAGCTTGACAATGTGGCTATATAACTGATTTTCACCTGATGTGGTGGATGGTTTATCCATGTAGTTTAGAAAAGTATTAGATAAATAAATTGTTTTAGACATGTGTTTCTAGAATATAAAAAAATATAGGACTCAAGTTTACCCAGAAACACAAAATTGCTCTGTTGAGGGGAGCCTGTTGGCTTCAGGTTCATGCCTTGTTGTTTGTGCTGGTTTTTGGTGAATTTAAAGTGGACCTTTCACGACGTTTTCTTGGCTGTTGGACTTCTAAAATCATTTTTAGAAACAGATGTGGCGCTAAATGGAGTTTTTGTTTGATGTTCTATCTTTCTCCATCATTATAATCCTCATTGTTATTTTATTTTACTTGGAAATGTGGGTTTGTGGAAAGAATTGCTCAGAAAAGCGTAGAAGTATTTCCATGTAGGAGAGGCCTGTTTTACAGACAGTTAAAACTGGCAGAATATGCCATTGTAACAGTTTGAACAAAATCTATTTTGTCAGAATTGAAATGTTGCTGGATATATGTGTGTATCACCCAGTTGAAAGAAGCAATGTCTATTTCCTTTCTAAGAAGCATTGCATTGTTTATTGAAACATGAATGATATTACACTATTATATCACACTATTTGCTCTGGTTATGTTGAACTAGACTGCGAGTGTCTTCTGTTATCTCCAATCAGTGCCTGGAAAGAAAAAGGTATTTAAGGTTAGAGAATGCAAAAGGGAGCTTGTTGAAGCAGGAAAATCTGTTAAGTGGAACATAAATTGTGGTTTGAAAAGAGGAGATATGTTGTGCTAGAATTTGCTGTTGAGTACACATGCATACATTTGAGCTATTATTTGCATAAGGGGTCCAGGTTGATAAGAACTACACTTGTCTCTTCCTATTTTGCTTTGGTCCTAGCAATGTTTTCTTTTGGTTTTGTTCCAGACTTTTCGTTTTCACACCCTTTCCACTAGAATGTGACTCCCAGGACTCATTTGGTCTTGCATTATTCTGCAGTATCCCAGTATACTGTTGTAGCCTTTACTTGAGTTGTTGCTTAATTTGAATGGTAGGAGAGGCGTATAAATTATTGTGCCTAGAAGCAGAAGTTTGAACCAGATTGCTTGTGGCGTTTGCCAGTGCAGTTCTATTAATTTCAAATTTCCATCATAATGGGACCTCCTCTTCCATTATTTTGTATTATTGGATAAGAAGTTGCATTGATGTACGGATGGGAGCAGGAAGTGGATCCACTGTCTTTTGAACCTGACATTGAGTGAAAATATGGTTCAGGAAACAATTTCTTTCTTACACACTATGGGCAAACATAGGGCCTATCAAGAGACGTTTTCAAAAATCGTGGGGCCAATGCCCCAAATGGCACTTTTTAGGCACTGCATTTTGGGGATGTGTGCTCAAGAAAAGTTCTTAGACCTTGTGGCAATTTATTTATTTGAAAATTTGTAGTCCACAGTTTATCAATATTTCTCTGACAGTGCAGCCAATAAAGCAATTCACTGTAAAAACATTAAGGAGCAATAATTCACTAAGCACTGTTAACTTTCATACTATAAAGTCAGCAGTGTTATCCTAGGAAATAAATCAGTAGGTTGGAAAGACCAAAGGCTTTGATAGACATCCAGGTTTTAACTTGGAGTGGAACTAAGAATATATCTGCCAGCCAGGCGCTCCAGATGTTTGTGACTTCAGCTCCCAGAATTCTTGACAATTGGACAAGCTGGCCAGGGCTTCTAGGAGTTGTTGTCCCAATTCCCTGGAGGGTGACAGGTTGTGGAGGTCTAGTTTGCTCTTACATCTGCATAGGATGTACACCTTGGAGATGGAACTGGGATTTGCTACTTCCTGTCTGAGGTCGAATTTGGAGTTCACGATCTCTTGAGGAACTTGTGATGGAATTACGATATTTCTTCAAATGTAAGGCACCATCTATTGTAAGCCGCATCCTAATTTCAGTACCACCACCAAAAATATATAAGATACACCCCATTTTAAAGGATATTTATATAGGGAAAATGTGTCTTATAACTGAAGAAATACAGTAAAACTGCATATTTAAGGTTTCTAGAGTTTTTTTGTTCCCAGGATAAGCTACATGTTTTATTTATTTATTTATTTACTTTGCTTATATACCGCTGTATCTCAAGCCCGAAGGCGACTCACAGCGGTTCACAAACAGTAAAAACAGTAGAAACAGCAGTGGTTCCATACAACATATAACAATTGACTTAACACATTATCCATAAATTACCAATAAGCAATTACAATGCACAATTATTACAAAAAACAACCGTACCCAATATTCTCATCATCCAAGCATAGTCCAGGTTCGTCGTCCATTGTTCCATTCCTATGTTCCATTACCAGATTGCACTAAATTACTCAAACGCCTGCACAAACATCCAGGTCTTCACCTTTTTGCGGAATACCATTAGAGATGGTGCTAGTCTAATGTCCGTAGGAAGGGCGTTCCACAGCCGAGGAGCCACCACCGAGAAGGCCCTATCTCTCGTCCCCGCCAGCCGAGCTTGAGAAAGCAGGCGGGATCGAGAGCAGGGTCCCCCCGGAAGATCTCAAAGTCCTGGTGGGTTCATAGGCAGAGATGCGGTCAGATAGGTAGCTTGGGCCGGAACCGTTTAGGGCTTTAAAGGCCAACGCCAGCACTTTGAATTCAGCCCGGTAGCAGATCGGTAGCCAGTGGAGTTGGCGCAACAGGGGGGTTGTATGCTCCCTGCGCTCCGCTCCTGTTAAAATCATGGCTGCCGAGCGTTGAACTAGTTGGAGCTTCCGAGCTGTCTTCAAAGGCAACCCCACATAGAGAGCGTTGCAGTAGTCTAAAAGTTTTCCCATTATTGCATGAGGAAAAATTCATGAATGTCCCAACGTTATTTTGATGGAAAGCATTGTGTTCAACACAGGTTAGGGCTTTAAAATTGAGATTTAGTATCACTAATTTTCAATGGGAAAAAGAGGAGGGTTCCCATAGCAATTGTGGATATTTTGGGCAAGTACCGACTGTGAGAAGCGCTCCCTTCAATCTCAAGGTCCTAACCTTCTTAGGGCTTTAAAATTGCTATATATTGAGCTTAGACTGGACGTGTCTTGGCAGCCAGTACAATTATTTTTTAAAATGGTATCCATTTTATATTTATTAATTAAAATAATTATTTTAGGACCGCTTACAATCAAATCAATTTAAAACAATAGTGAAAATACTTTTAGAACATTAAACTATTAAATTGCCAGTTTTAAGCAGAGGATCTTAAATTAGTTAAAATGATGAGAAATAATAAAACCAAAAGACCTGTTGGGACTGTAAGAGTTGATGTTGGTGAAAGTCTTTAGAGGAACGGAATTGCACAATTGGGGTGCCACTACAAAGAAGGCCATGTTTGATTCTTGGCTGTAACGTAGCAGCCACTGACTGCAAGTAGCTCCAACTTCGGTGTCAGTCACTTAGAGCACATTACAAGAATCTAAACAGGAAATGACCATAGCTGGCGGGCCATTTGTAGTTAGGCAAAGGCAGCTTGAGCCACAGAGAATTCTTAAATCTTTAGTGGCAACTATGAATCTACCAAAAATCTACCTAGGACTTGTGCCTATGTCAGGTCAGACTGATCCATGTAATCTCTCTTGCTCAGTTTCAGTTTGTTGCTCCCATCCAGCCTTTTACAGTTTACAAATAATGGTTTATAGCAGGGGTCCTCAAACTAAGGCCCGCGGGCCGAATCTGGACCTCCAAGGTCATTTACCCGGCCCTTGCTCAGGGTCAACCTAAGTCTGAAGCGACATGAAAGCACACAACAACAACAACAACAATTCTATCTCATCAGCCAAAAGTAGGCCCACACTTCCCATCGAAATACTAATAAGTTTATATTTGTTAAAATTGTTCTTCATTTTAATAATTGTATTGTTTTTAAGTGTGTTTTTTTTTTGCGCTACAAATAAGATATGTGCAGCATGCATAGGAATTCATTCATGTTTTTTTTAAAATATATTCCGGCCCTCCAACTGTTTGAGAGACTGTGACCTGGCCCTCTGTTTTAAAAGTTTGAGAACCCCTGGTTTATAGGATAAAATAACTTCGCCTCTCAAATGCCTTCACTCCTCTGTCCCTTAACTGTTATTATATTGCCTTTACTATAGATCAGGCATGAGCGAACTTCAGACCTACAGATGTTTTGGGCTTCAACTCCCACAATTCCTAACAGCTTACCGGCTGTTAGGAATTGTTGGAGTTGAAGTCCATAACACCTTGAGGGCCAAAGTTTGCCCATGCCTGGTATAGATGTTCAGTCCCACACTTTAGTTCATCGCGCTTTAATGTATTTTTATTGTATCCTTGGTTCTCTTACCAATCCTTAGAAACTCAAAGCAGTGGATTATGAATACCGTGAAGATGTTCACTGGACGAAATTCCAAGGCCTGCTCGGCACAGGATCCTTTGGGGAAGTGTACAAAATGGAGGACAAGCAGACAGGCTTTCAGTGTGCAGCCAAAAAGGTAATGTGGTTGTTTTTGAGCCCAAGTGTATGTCAGGCAAAGGAAAGTGAAATCGAATGCTGTATGGGAAATGAAAATGCCTTCCCTTTTCCCTGAAGCTGGGGAAGGGGAGGGGGTTGGAGTGGAGCAGTTGCTGCTGTGCTTCTTCGCAGTCACTTGTTTGTCGCTGCTCTCAAGGTCAAGGCAGGAGGTGTTGCCATGGTTTTCCCAAACACTGGCATCGCCTTCCCGTGTGGGCGGTGGGTGAGGCAAGTGCTGCTGGAAAGATTGCTCTTGAGTGAAGTCCAAAAGGCAACCCTCTGGGACAGGCTTGCATTGTGTTCTCTCCCTATGAGCAAGTGGTGCCAAAGTTAACTCATAAAGTTATGCAAATACTAACATAGGGTTCCCTACTCTGAAAACTGCATTTGATAACACAGCTCTGGAGAAAAGTTACACGAACACTTACAGTCTTAGCTGATCTATCTGTAGCCATGCTTTGCCCCAACATAGCTGGTTCTTGGATGGCTTCCTATCCAGACTTAGAGATGTTTAGCTTCAGTAGTCAGACTGCACCTTCAGATTGTGTTTATCTACCATAAATGCTCATGTATAAGTCAAGGGCAGGTTTTGGGGCCAACATTGCAGGTTTTGATATTACCCTTAGGTAATTATAGGGTCATTCTGCAGAGAAAGTATCAATAGGGCAAGCAAGTCAAAGCCACCGCTGCAATTTCCCAAGCAGGCATTCAGAAAGGTCAGAAGCCACACCATGGCAAAGAAAGTAGAAGAGGTTGATGCTTCTTTTAGGTTAGGCCTGGACAAACTTCATCGCTCTAGGTGTTTTGGACTTCAACTCCCACAATTACTAACAGACTGTTAGTAATTGTGGGAGTTGAAGTCCAAAACACCCGGAGAGCTGAAGTTTACCCATGCATGATCTATATCCTGTAATTAAGATAATTAAGAACTGTATCCATGCCTCTTTTAGGTACTCCTGGGACAGATACGTTCTTGTCTTTCGTCACTATATTCAAAGAAGGGAATAGGTCCCTTTTTGATAAGGGCTCAGATACAGTAATCATATTGACCTATGATAAACTGTCCCAGGTTTTTGGCAATGATGTTTTGACTACAATTTCTAGACTTGAACATGAGGATGTAAGGTTTGTTGGAACCGAACCTAAGTAAATTGCAAGGAGATAGATTGAGAAGTTGGGGATCTCTTGTGACGGAATGGTGTGGCTGTATTTCAAGGCACTGGGTGTATTATCTGATGTATTGTGAGGTTCTGGTTGTAGACTGAGTTTTCTTGCCCCCCTTAACAGATTTGTTCCTCAGTTATTTTAGCTCCACTTCTTCCTGTCTCATATTTTGATCCAGACTCTTTTGAACTGTTATGCAGCAGCAAGCATGCAAGTGACTCATATTTTCCTTCAGCAGATTATGTCTGCTCTCTCTTTAACTTTCTTTTTCTCTTAGCCAAAGCTGTGGTCATTTTTACATATAACACACAGACTGTGCTTTAAATGTCTGTGTAAAAATGGTAATCTTAACACTGCTTTGAAAAGTTAGTTTGCATTACTGGACTTCTTTCAGATTCCTATTTGCTTGCCATCTTGTTGCTCAGACAACTCATTATGCATTGGAGACCTACAAACAAGATTCAAATTCAGCTCCCCACCCTTCGTCTTGCTTCTTCCAATGCTTCTTTGGATCTCCACTTCCTGCCAGAAACCCACAGCTCTTTCTTTTCTGTCTGATGGTTCTCATGATTCTTTTTTTTAATGGTAACTATAGTCTACCACCTAGTTCTTCAACGCTTTGCTTTTCTGTTTTTGTTTTTAACTTTGTTTGGCATCATTCATCTATGTTGTCCCAGACAGTCTCTTGGCTATCTCAGTTCTCTTTTTTCACCCTATGAATATTTTGTTCCACCTCACAGTGGTCATTTTTCCTCCTTAGTATCTTGTCTTAACTCCCATTTTTTTTCTCAGCTTCTGTTTTTCTTCTATACATGGCTTGTATTTTGTGTGTGTTTTAGTTGCCTCTGGACCCCTATCTCTTAATATTACTAACCCTTTACTCCATTTAATGAAGCAGAATGTTGGACAAAAACACTGTTGTCCAAATGGTGGTCCCTGGACCGGTGCCAGTTCTTGAGCTATTTGCTTCCAATCCCTGGTAGGTGTCTAGAAAAAAACAGTTGTAGTCAATGGGCAGTGCTGTTTCCTGGCACACTAGGAAAAATAATAGTGGATCCTTCACATCAGCTAGCCTGAGAAGCACTGACCTATGAGATACTGCTTTACAAATTTATCTGTACTGTGTGGAAGCCATTGTTTTGTCTTCTACACCACTTGGAATCCTTATATTGATTGAGCCGTACTGCATTATCATCCTCTTTCAAGATGAGAATTGAACACTTCCGTGCAGAGGAGTTGACAACATGTACTGGAATGATGCATGACAATATCTTGCCATTATATGGAGCAGTCAAAGAAGGCCTTTGGATTACTATATTCATGAAGCTAATGGAAGGTATGTGATCAATGATAGAAGAAAGTGATATGCTTAATAATAATCTACTCACCATAGACAGTGTATTTAATAGGCTACTGCACTGACAAAGCAGCAAACCCTGCTCTGGAAATAAATTTGTGACCAGAAGAACATTCAGACCAAGTTCGCCCTGTATTTTATATCAGTAAAACAAACCACCATGGAAATCCAGCTTTGTCCTTGTGTCAGTTTATTTACTATTCCATTTTATCTTCTAAAACCCATGGATGACATCCAGTATTGATTATTTTACTCCAAATTGAATATCAATGCTTGCAGTTTGTGAAGAGAGCAAAAACGAAATTGTATTAATTTTCCACTTTAAAGCAGTCCTATTTGTGGGCTTCCCAGAATCAGCATCCTGTTGCCATTATATGGAACAGAATATTGAGCTAAATAGACTTTTGACCTGATCCCTTAGTAAAGGTAAAAGTTTATCCTGACATTAAGTCTAGCCGTGTCTGACTCGAGGGTGGTGCTCAACTCTATTTTTAAGTCAAAGAGCCGGTGTTATGTGTAGATACCTCCAAGGTCATGTGGCCAGCATGACTGCATGGAGTTCCCTTACCTTCCCACAATGGCAGTACTTATTAATCTACTCACATTTCCATGTTTTCAAATTGCTAAGTTGGCAGAAGCTGGGGCTAACAGCGGAAGCTTACCCTGCTTTCCGGATTCGAATCACCAACCTTTCAGTCAGCAAGTACAGCAGCACAGTGGTTTAATCCACTGTGCCACTTAGGACTGTTTTTCTGACAGTGAGATGATACACTTGTTGCATTTTGTCCAGGAGTGCTGGGACGGTAATGTAAGAAATATAGAGAGAAAATAATGTGAGCTCAGTGCACATAGGCTGGCAAAGACCATAAGTATTCATTACAAATATTTGCCAGGTTGTTCATATTGACTTATAATCAGTTTAATGAATTATAGTAACTTTGGAAATTCTCCCTCACAGGTGGGTCACTTGGTCAGCTACTGAAACAGTGTGGCTACTTGCCAGAAGACAGAGCACTTGATTACCTGGGCCAAGCATTAAAGGGCTTGGAATACCTTCATACTCACAATGTTCTCCATGGAGATGTAAAAGGTATGTGCTCTGGGTGGCAGGGTGTTTTTCTCAGAGTGGGACAGTTTACTGCAACTACAGAAAGACCACTTGTAGGGGACTCTGTTTTGCTAGCAATTTGGCACATTTCTCATCTATGTGGACAACTTGTATGTATCTTTACCTCCAGATTGTAGGTGATGAATCTCATGACTGAATATTCTGATAATTTTTTAAAAAATATTTTTTTAAAGAAGGTGTTTGTTCTGATAGTTTAGTATATGGGGTACTCCATTGTGTTAATGTTTACTTAAGAATTTTTAAATGGTGCATGTCTTCAGAAATAGACTAGCCACCTGAGAGAAGACTAGGTCTTGTCATTGTGACACACTTGAATCTTGATTGTAATAACTGCAACCTTTTCTTTGTCAGCTGACAACATTGTTTTGTCTGGCGATGGAAACCATGCTGTCCTCTGCGATTTTGGTCATGCAGCCCACCTTCACCCAGATGCAATGGGGAATTACTTAATGACAGGTATGCTACAGCAGATTTTTAAAAGGTCAAAACATTATGATTTAAATCATAAAAGCTAGCTTTGAATAATAACATACAAGATATGGTTGTCTGCCTGCCCTATTCTTGTATTTAAATCCAACACCATCCCAGTCCCAACCATATCATGCCACACATTTTCCCCCACTGCATTATATTTTTATATAATTAGGATTCCATGAAATTCATATTTTTTTTAAAAAAAATGCCTCAAAAACTGCAATTTGCAACCTTTATGAAGTATGTAGATTTGACAATTCTGCCTAATACATTTTCATATTATTTACATGCATTTGCTTTGATTTTAATTTGTATTGTGTCATGTTCTCCCTATATTGGGAGGAAGGTGAGATGAAAACAAGGTAAATAAACAAAAAGTGATTAGATGGGGAAAGCATTGAAAACCTATCTCTCTCGTATTGGGGATTTCATTCAGTCAATCCCTGGCTCCTGAAATTTTAGGCGGCATTGCAGACTTCTAGGTATATCCTAAGAAGATTTGAAAAATGTTTTTTAAATAGAAACAAATATTATAATGCTTAACATTTATGTAGAACTTCTTGAATGCTCTAAGTGCTTCCTATATGTTACTTTCTTGAAAACCTAACACAAATAAAGTGGGTCACACTCTAACGTATTTTTTCTTGATGCTAATAGCAATGTGGCTTATTTAAGATCCCTGAATTAGGTTGTGGTAGAGGTATGATTTGAACTAGGGCCTTCCTGATTCATAACTCTCTCCTCCAGACAATTGGCTAAACCAACTGCGATTACGAGAAGCTGAATTCTGCCTCCATATTCTATACTGATCTTGGTCTTCTGTGGAATCACAGTATATACCCAATCATATTTATTTATTTATTTATTTACTTTGCTTATATACCGCTGTATCTCAAGCCCGAAGGCGACTCACAGCGGTTCACAAACAGTAAAAACAGTAGAAACAGCAGTGGTTCCATACAACATATATGCATAGTACTATCTATTTAGTGGCTGAGATCCACCATTTAGAGATGTGTGTATTATGTAATTACATTTCTGTAACTATGCCTCTATAGTTATTTCTCCTTCCTCAACCCAGATTGTAAGCAAAACAAACCCCCCTAACATGGCAATTTCCATGTTGTTGGAGAGCAGGAAGGGATCAGTGAGAATGCATCCAGCTATTTTTCTATAACTGGATGTACTCAACAGGCATCTGCAAAGACATTAGTCTTTGTAAGGGGGTGCGTTGTGATGCTGAGATAGTTTTATATGGGAGGTGGGCTGTTGCATGGTTGGAACCGAATTCCAACTCCTGAAACAAAACAAAATGGTTGAAATGATAAATTCACAACATCATAATCCACTCACAGGATGCCAGTGACTGTTGTGATTCAAGTTGCAATTTCATGGAATATAAGTTTGCTTCTGAAACAGAGCCACCTAAAGCAAGAGATTCCCATTGCAGAGGGACACAGGTCTTCTTGGTCATTCTGTATTGGCAATCTGGGGGATAAAATTTAATATTATGAACCTGTATGAGTATGTAAGTGCTCACTACATCTGTATTTGATTACTTGAAATTGTCATATTAGAGCAGACATGGGCAAACTTTCTAACTTGGGGGCCACATGGTGGGTTGGAGTGGGGTGGGCAGGCCGGGAGGGAGGGGGTTCTCCCCAAGTCCCCTTGCTGCCCTTTCCTCCGCTTCCTCTTCTCTTTTGGAGGCAGAAAGTGAAGGAAAGACGGGAAACGTTTGGATCCAAAAAGGTTAACCTTAGTCAGGATGAGATGGTAGACAGGAGAGAAAAAAATATATCCATTAGACCCCGATAGACAACCTCTGTGGAATAGCCTCCAGAGAAGGAGACTCCACTACACTCAGAGTCAGCCTATGCCACACTCCAACAGCTCTTAATCTCAGGAACTTCTTACTAATCTTATCAGCTGAATCTCTTTCCCTACCATTTGAAACCATTGCTTCCTTGTGGCCAGGTCTCTAGAGCAGCAGAAAGTCAGTTTTTCCCCACCTCTTCAATGGGACACCCTTTTAAATCTTGGAACATGGTTCTCCTGTTCCCTCTCTATCTTCTCTTCTTTTCTCTGAGCTAAACATCTGCCAGAAGAAAAGAGGGGAGGAAAAAGAGAAGGAAGGAAGAAAATGATGGAAGGGAAGGGAAGGGAAGGGAAGGGAAGGGAAGGGAGGGAGGGAAGGAAGGAAGGAAGGAAGGAAGGAAGGAAGGAAGGAAGGAAGGAAGGAAGGAAGGAAGGAAGGAAGGACAAAAAGAGAGGGAAGGAGGGGGGAAAGATCGAAGGAAGGAGTGGAAATGCCCAGAATTGATCTGCCCTGATGCTATTAAGCCGTTTTTTATATATCAAAGCATTATCCTTCATAAACTACAAGCCGCAGGCAGCAAAGCAGTGCTCTATTGGACCTTACATGTGCTGCTGTCCCTTTGCTACTTGGGTGTAACTGATACTTAGTTTGTGAAACTAATTCCTCACTCCTGCCCTTTACCCTACTGCATATGTAATATTGAGTTCAAAGACTTAGAATATTGTCCTTTAGTGAACATTAGTCTCACATCTTTCTTTGGGGTGGATGCTAGCTTCCAGAGTTAAAAAATTAATCATTCTGTAAAATCAAGACCCAGACACTTATCTATGGGCTAAACTGTTTTATTAGATTTGTAGTTCTCATTGTATTATATAGTTCTTAGAACTAGACTAAAAAGATGAAAAGAAGGGAAGTTAAATGAATTTTCAACTCAGTCACTCCTGATTTTTCTCCTTACTATTTTAATATTTGTATATTTTTAAGTTAATTGAAATGTTTTTAATGTAAGCTGCTTTCAATCTTCTTTGTTGAGAGAAAAAGCAGGATAATAATAATAATGAAATGGGGGAGAGAGATTATTTTATGAAATATCATCTGTTAAAAACAGAGGTTGGGGATCCTCTGCAACAGTGTTCTCCTTTGAAAGGTCATACAGCACCTATTCCATTTTTGTGACATAAATTTAGGCTGAGAGATTGTGGTTAGCCCAGCAGTTGCATGAGTTTTGTCGCTGAGCAAGGATTTGAGCCCATGTTGGGTGATAGCTCTCAATACTCAGCATTATTCACAATGCTATATTTTACTCTATCTACTACAGTGTTCTAGGTCTCCTTTTAGGGTCCAAACCATATGCAGTAGCGTTGGAGTTTCTACAAACTCACTGAGCATGGTTGTATATGCGCTGCAAGTCCACCAAGACCTTAGAGAGCCCCTCTCCCCTGTTGCATTTCCAGGAGATTATGTTCCTGGCACCGAAACCCACTTGGCCCCCGAAGTGGTGATGGGAAAGCGATGTGACACCAAGGCAGATGTCTGGAGCAGCTGCTGTATGATGCTGCATCTCCTGAATGGCTGCCACCCTTGGACCCAATATTACAATCACCCTTTGTGCCTCAAGGTAAGTTTCATGTTAATGAGCTCGCAAAAAACCCTGCCCTGTTGTCTTGACCATGGTAATAAACAAAGAGCTCTTGTGACATGAGCTTTCATTGTCAAGAACATCCTTCATCTTATGCATCAATATATTGTAGCATATTGAAGATAAAATTTTAAACCTTATTGCAAAAGGTGCATAAAATGTAAGGTGCACCATAAAGGATGGAATGTTACTTCTGTAATTTAATATTTATGGGCTTTGTAAATCCTATTGTCTGATCCCACTGCTGGCTATGTGCACGTGTGTTTGTAGTATCTGTCAACTTGTAATAATGTTAAATTGGACTCTACCCCACATAAGTTTATCTGCAAAACATCTTTGAGTCATATATGAAATATAAAAATACAGGAGAATCCCTTTTTAAAATCAAACTGAAAGTCCACCAATAAATCCACAGGTTTTTAGGCTTTGCTTTAATGAAGTGTTTTTATATATTTACACATTCATAAAATTTAAAAAAACATATATACAAAGTGAACATTCTTTAATTATCATACATTCCTTCTTTCTTGTTACTACTAAACATGCACTGAGAATTTATAGACATCCATAGGCCAGAAATCTGATACTCTACCAACAGATTTCTAGGGTTGAGCTTCTATGTCATGAACATACTTTTATTTAAATCAACAATGAGGGACCATTGGCATTTCAGATGTTTCTGGGCTCACTCCTGCCAGTTGTAGCTGCCAATGGACAGGGAGTTTTAGTTCTTGATAAACCAACCTGACACAGCATATTATTTGAGAACACAGAAATGCTGGGCCACAACCACCATGTCAGAGTATACAGAGAAGCCATTGAAATCCACTAGCAGGAAGGAGAAAACCATGAAAATTAACAAAATCTGGCTACCAGTATTTTACAAAAATCTAAAATCAGGACAGTAAATAAAGAACAACACTAAAAAATAGTGGAATTCCAGATAAGAAACCATCAGGGCCAGCTAACATCTCCTAACAAAGGACGCCCCTAGGCAGGAAGCAGCCAGGCTTTGAAGCTGCAGGGCTATTCAGTGCTAATCAAGGTGGCCAATTGCAACATTCAACAGACAAGAGTTCTTTCTCCCACCCTGGACATCATTCCATAGATCTATAAACCCCACTTGTCCTAATTTCCAACAGACCTCACAACCTCTGAAGATGCCTGCCATAGATGTGGGTGAAATGTCAGGAGAGAATGCTTCTGGAACATGGCCATACAGCCTGGAAAATTCACAGCAACTCAGTCCAGTAAGGGCTTGAAAGTCTCAGGTTCTGCTCTCTTAATTTTAAGGAATGTAGTCAAGAAAAAGTACTTTTATCAGGAAATACACTTCCTGTAAATAACTACAAGTGATCAACAATGGAAGGGACAAAGATGACAAGGGTGGATATACTCTTCTTTTGGAATTTCCTGGAGTAAATAATTAGTGTAGGACACCTAAAGTCTCTGTCTTGCCTCTAGGACATCTTTTCCTTCCTTCCATGTCACCCAAAAATCCTACAGTTCCCCAAGCGAGTTTCTGTCCCTGTCCAGAGGTACTCCGTTGTCCCTTGAATCTACCATTTCTACACCCCCTGTGCTTCTACATTGCAGATAGCCAAGGAACCACCTCCCCTGAGAGAAATCCCGTCCTCCTGTCACCCATCCACTGCCCATGTCATTAAGGCTGGCCTTGAAAAGGAGCCAGCCAAACGGGCCTCAGCAGCAGAGTTGAGACTGAAAGTCAACAAAGCACTCGAGCATGGTGAGATTTTGTGACCTCTCTTTGAACAAGCTACAGATAATTATCTGTTATAACCAGGGCGCAGGTTCTTACTGTTGCATGTCTTCAAATTGTTTCTGACTTATGGCAACCTTAATTTGTGGGGGTGGGCTGACAAGGTTTACTAAGAGAGGGTTTGTCATTGCTTTCTTCTGCAGTTTAGAGGATATGATTTTCCCAAAGTCACCCAGTGACTTTCCATGACTGAGCAGGGATTTGAACCCTAGGATGCATCTAAATTGTAGAATTTATACAATTTGGCATCACTGATGCTATGGAATCTAGTTTTACAAGATCTTTCATCTTCTCTGCCTAACTAAACTACTGATCCCATGATTCATTTTGCCTTTAACCATGGCAAATACATTGGTGTCATGCTGCATTAGTTCTATCCTTTAGATAAGTGGCTCTCAACTTGTGGGTCCCCAGATGTTTTGGCCTTCAACTCCCATAAATCCTAACAGCTGCTAAACCGGCTGGGATTTCTGGGAGTTGTAGGCCAAAACACCTGGGGACCCACAAGTTGAGAACTACTGCTTTAGATGCACCCCTAGTCTCCAAGAGTCCTGGTTCTGTCTTCAGAGCATTATACCACACTAACTCCAATTCCTTATTCAAAAAAGGAAACTACTTGCTGCTATATAACATGAATTATGCTCTTTTTTGCATTCAAACACTGCTACAATTTGATTTAATATAGTTGTTCAAAATTATATGTGGTAAATCTAGTTGTTCTAAAGTGGATGAGAACAAAGGTTCTTGCAGTATCCCTTTACAACATGTCAGATGAAATCCTGTTAGCTACATAGGTGTGCTTAACCCATGGCAAGTTATTTACATGTGAAGCAAGTTATTTACAACAGTAACAGCAACAACAGCCTTTATTGGCATACATTAACAAAATCACAGCACAGACATGTATAACAAAAGTTAGTTAAAAAAAAGAAATGTGCTTTATAATTACTTAGCTCAAGAATAGAACAGTTGCAAAAGAATGCATAAGAGTTGTTCAGGATGTATGGAATTTTATAACACTCTTGCCATTGAGAGCATGGCAAAAAATGAAATTCCTGTATTGCATCTGTATCTTATCATATAAACGAATGGTCAAGTGTTTTGACAGAAATCAAGTCACAAGAAGCTATGTACCATCTCCTTGTGTAGTGTCCCAACTCAAAAGGCAGCTGTCAAGTGGTTTAACATAATAAAAGGAGAGGATTCACTTGTAGAACTTGTGGGCAAATCTGAGCTGAAACACTGTTCATCCCTTAACGTTGGCATGTGCAAACAGTCCATAGGCTGTGTATTCTCAAAGGCTTTCATGGCCGGAATCACTGGGTTGTTGTAGGTTTTTTCGGGCTATATGGCCATGGTCTAGAGCAGGGGTCCACAAACTTTTTAAACAGAGGGCCAGGTCACAGTCCCTCAAACTGTTGGAGGGCCGGATTATAATTTGAAAAAAAGAAGAAGAATGAATTCCTATGCACACTGCACATATCTTATACACAATACAATGATTAAAATGAAGAACAATGTTAACAAATATAAACTTATTAGTATTTCAATGGGAAGTGTGGGCCTGCTTTTGCCTGATGAGATAGGATTGTTGTTGTGTGCTTTCAAGTCATTTCAGACTTAGGTTGACCCTGAGCGAGGGCCGGGTAAATTACCTTGGAGGGCCGTATCTGGCCCCCGGGCCTTAGTTTGAGGACCCCTGGTCTAGAAGCATTCTCTCCTGACGTTTTGCCTGAGGATGCTTGCCATATATGCAGGCGAAACATCAGGAGAGAATGCCTCTAGACCATGGCCATATAGCCCGAAAAAACCTGAAACAATCCAGTCCATAGGCTGTTAGGGATTGTGGGAGTTGAAGTCCAAAACACCTGGAGGGCTGAAGGTTTCCCATGCCTGCCTTAAGGCAAGGGAGGGAAAAAATTGCTCTTGAAGTACAGCTTCCATCAGCTTCAGCCATTTGGGCCAAAGATCAGGAATATTCCACACATATCTGCAGGAACACAGGACCTTGATCCTTATCATGCACCATATTTCCCTCTTTTCTTCATTGTTTTGTACAAGAAATGAATAAGATCTGTTTTTATCGCTTTGCATATATATTGCAGACTAATCACTTCAAGTAAATATGAAGAATGGCTTAAGGAAAGTATTACAGCTTTTGTTTTTCTCTAACTCTGCCTTTCCAGTGGGAGGCCTGAAAAGCCCCTGGAGAGGTGAATACAGAGAACCCAGGTGCCTACAGAGGGTAAAAGAAATTAGCCTCCCAGAACCATCATTGCCAGCACTCGAGGCTCCTAGTAGCATGAAACCATTGATCCGAAGCTTCAGCTCACCGCTCCCGTCTCAGGCCCCAGTGGAGAGAAGTCCATGTGTCCACCCAAGTACATGCAGGAGATTGTTGTGGCCATATGACTCCCTGCAGCCTTCCTTCCCATCTCCTCTCAGCACCAAGAAGAGCAACTTTGTGGAATGGAAAGCAGCTACCTTAGAGCATGACCTTCAGCAGCTGGAATTTGGTAATGATGGATCTCCTTTCTCTTCTCTTTAAAAAGTCTGGATCATGGCAGTCTTAATTACTCCTCTGTCAATTATTTGTGAAACTCTCCCCATTCTCTTAGAAATCATTTCCTATTTCAAGTGTTTGTATTGACTTCACTGGTAGGCAGAGCAAGTGAGGTACCTTTGAGTTTAAAAGGGGACGGCAAGGAATGAAACCCTGATGTGAAAAGTAAATAGAGATGTGAATCAGATGGTTGGAAGAACACGTTGCGGAAATAAAATCAAAATGAATTTTGAAATACTTAATAGGCTTTCCATAAGGTATTTGTTAAAGCATTGCTTTTGAAACTCTGAATCCTGAGCCGAAATGGTATTCCCTTAGCTCAGTACTGAGATCAAGAAAAAATGGCTACAGTGCCATTCATTTACACATATATTTTAGTAACAACATGGAGTGTTTACTAGGCCTGGGCAATCCATGGTTCTAAATGGTTCTAAAGTACTTACAAAATTAAAGTTCTGGTGGTGAAAATTTTAGAACTCTAACAAAACTTTCAAAATTTAATTATTATTTCATTATTGGGGATTTTTTAATGACAGAACCAATAAGGAACTGCCATTTGTAATGAAATTTTGAGAGTTTTGTTAGAGTTTTGAAATTTTCACCACCAGAACTTTAGTTTTGTAAGTACTTTAGAACCATTTAGAACCATGCATTGCCCTGGCCTAGTGTTTACAGCATACAGCAGAAAACGCTTCAGCTGTATTTCATGAAAAGGAATATCAGCATATTTAGCACTCCTTGCAAATGCTGATTTAATATCAGTAAATGTTTGGTTTTTATACCTGGTTTATATAACTGGGGTCATGTAAAAATTTCTCAAGTAGAAAGAGGTCCCGAGTGGAAAAAGTTTTGGCTTGTTGTGGAAATAAGGATTGATGATTAAGCTTCAGTGGAGACACCTTTTCTCCATTTTCAATCTGCTCTCCTTTTATTTTCCCAGAATTGATTCTGAACAGTCTCTCCCAGCCCTTTTCTCTGGAGGAGCAAGAACAAATGCTTTCCTATCTCAGCTTGGACAGCTTTCTCCCATCCGATGCCAGTGAAAAGGCAAGTACTAGAGGACTGGAACTTGCCCCTTCCATGCAGCAGTATTCCAAGGCCACGTTTTGCACCAAATAAAGTGTCTGGCCAAGAACTTACAGGAACATCTCATGAGCCTAAGCTGGGAGAATCGTATTTGAGTATATGATTTAGGCAGGTGTTTCACTTTTCTTCATGCTTTGTACTTGTTTTTACAAGCTAGATCTAGAGAAGAATGGTCTACTGTGGCCTACAGGCTGCGTGTGGCCTCTGGACACTCTCTCAATCCTTCACGGTCCTTCAGCTTCCCATTGCATTATCTTCATGCCAGTTCAACCCGATACCACATAGAAATCTACCACCTCCAATAGCCATGTTTTCATCCGAGTCCCTCTCACAACTACAATAGGAAGTGAGACAACAAAACTTCCAGTCAACATTAAATATTAAGTATTTTGAGATGTGGTCGCATTTTGGGAGACACAGTGGTTCTTAACCTGTGAGTACCCAGATGTTTTGGCCTTCAACTCCCAGAAATCCTAAGAACTGGTAAACTAGTTGAGATTTCTGAGTCTTGTAGGCCAAAACACCTGGGGACCCACAGAGTGACAACCACTGCTTTATTTATTTATTTATTTATTTATTTATTTACTTTATTTGTATACCGCTGTTCTCAGCCCTTAGGCGACTCACAGCGGTTAACAACAAGAACAGCAAAAATTCAATGCTACAATAACACGGTATAAAAAACAGTTAACATCATAACACATTATACAATAATATACAATTAACAACAATAGTCATTCACTAGCGTCTTGTCACTGAAAAACATGATCCAGATCCATCATCCATTGTTCCATTCCTATGTTCATTACACTCATTGCACTGACTATTCGAACGCCTGCTCAAACCAGGTTTTCACTTTTTTGCAGAATACCATTAATGAAGGAGCTAGTCTAATGTCCATGGGAAGGGCGTTCCACAGCCGAGGGGCCACCACCGAGAAGGCCCTATCTCTCGTCCCCGCCAGCCATGCCTGTGAGGCAGGCGGGATCGAGAGCAGGGCCTCCCTGGAAGATCTCAAAGTCCTGGTGGGTTCATAGGCAGAGATGCGGTCGGATAGGTAGCTTGGGCCGGAACCGCCTATTCTCCCTCTCCATTAGAGGATGAGAAGCCTTTGGTCTTTTGGATACCTTTTCTGTGGTGCTTCTGTTGAATTGGAAGGAATTTTACACAAAGGACAGATTGGAGGCTGTGTGAAGTAAAATAATGTTTATTTAAACAAACTGAATTTCCTTTCGTTTGGTTACCACTGTATGAAAGGAAATCCTATGATCTTCTGTCTTTACTAAACAGATGTGACTTCTATATTATATCTAACTATGTCACTATATATATCTAATCTTTATCTACATAACTCTATAACTAATTATTAACTCTCGACGTGACTATTATTACTATTATTTTACTATTACAATGTCTCCGTCGTGACTAGGTACTGTTATTTTATTATTTATTAACTCCGACATGACGTGAAATCCTGTACTCTCTCTAACTACCTATTCCTTCCGTTCCTTGTTTCCTAACTGATTTCCTAACTGTCAAAACTGCCATTCTAAAGCAGTCTTGAGATCCTCTTCCCCACTCCCTTATCCTTAAAGGCACAGGGAGCATATTATAAATTATTTTTCATTGACACAGCCAGGAGAAGTTAATGAGAGCTGTAGCCCTACAATGTACCTCATTTCTTGTCTATACCATGAAGGAAATCTCATTTTCTCCTCTCAGATTAAGAATGCCTATCTGTTAGCAAACACAAGCACCATGCTGCCTCTTTTTCTCATCCCCACAACATTGAAATATATGATGGGCAGAGAGACTCAAAGCACGATGTCACATCAGGAGTTTATTTTTAGGACCATCCTTCTGCACATCTCTTTCTACAGTTCTTTTGTGGCCATTCCTAGATCTAGTGAAATAAAAATTCTGCCCATTAGAATGGGAATTTATTCTCGAACAGAAGAGTGTGGTTCCTCTTCTGCTCGCGTTCTCCAATTTGATTTCACTCCTATAAGCCTATAAGCAAATTGAAGATTGACAAAAGGTGAGTTGGTGCATTCCTAGAATTGTAAACAAGCTCATCTGTTTTCTTGACCCATCTTTGCACTATTATTTATTATTATTTATTTAAAACTTTTATATCCCAATCTTCTGTACCTCTGCAGAGGGACTCAGACCAACTCAGAGGGACACTAGGCTTCCTAAGGCCCATGCTAGGTCTTTTAAATACCACACACGTGGAAAGTATTGGCAAGGCTAGAGCAGATTGGCAGTAAACCTCCAAAGCATTTGCTCATTTGGCTTTATTAGGACCCTATGACTATACTTTTAGCCATCGATATGGCAACCACGTGTGTCAACAGGAAAATGGAATTGTCCTTCCTTTCTGGTTCTTCAGGGTTCTTTAAAAACATCTCCCAGCTGGAAGGATACTATGAGTTCGGGAGTGCATTCATGGAACAGCCAGGCTGATGGGCAGAGCAACAGCTGGAACAGCTGGCTACATCGCAGCAAGCAGACAGATGTCCCCACCTACTTTCACGGTAAGGGTGCGTGTATGGTAGTAGCCTCATCAGATATGAATATCTGTTATTTTACTCATTCAGCAATGCTTTCAAATGAATTGGACAAATGCAGTGCTTACGATACTAATCAATTTCATTTTGTGGCACACTTTATTGCTTTATTTATTAGTAGGTAATTTAGTTATTTAATTAGCATTAATTAGCAAGGTGTGCATGATACTTAAGAATAAGGCAGCCATGAAAGAAAAGCCATAAAATAATTACAAGAGGTATAAAATTCATTGATATCACTGTTGGCAGTCTGTCGGGACCACAACCACCACTATCTGTATTCAGAATGCAGATACAATTCATGCATTACATTAAATCTGTTTAAGTTACCACAAAAACATTTTAAAATGATTTCATGGTTTCTCTGTCAATAGATGCTGGAGTGGTATTTTTTTCAGTTTTGAGATAGTAGTGAGAGTAATATTCTGGACTTCTTGGCTGGCATACCAGAAGAATTCAAGTGATTAGATGTTAGAGTTTTAATGTTATTTTCCATCTTTCTCTTGAGAATGTGTTCATGCCTGTCTCTGCTCTCAGCAGCGCTGCTGTCTTCCCATCATATCCTGCCAAGGCCCTGTGATGTGTTGAGCTACTGCCTCTTTGATATTCTACCAATTTGCTGGGTGGAAGCTCCTTGAAGGATCTTCCTTGCTTACTGTTCCCTTCTTCTTGGCCTCCACTTCTAACTCTCAAGCTTCTTTGTCCAATTCCCTTGACTTTAATGGCCCTTAAAGCTTCTATTATGTTTGCAAACTCATCTTTCCTTAAAGTACTTTGGGTTGGGTTGGTTTTTGCCACTGCTTCTCTATAGCAGTCTTCCATTTCTGCTTTTCATCCATCTCCCATCACAGACCCCTCTAGTTTTCTTCTTTGACTTCTACAATGGAAAGCTTCCCTGAACCAAAACTCTGCCCAGCTCCTAGCACATTGTAAAACAACAGTAGCTAAGACTGCTTGGGAGTGTTTTGTTTTCACATCAAGATGAATACTTCATCGACAACATCAACTTTTTACCCCTGGAAAGTTTGAAAAGTTTTTTTAATTAGCAACTGCAGGAAACTCATTCAGCAATGTTTGAATTATCTACTACAAAAGTTTGATCTGAATTAACTGGCCGTCCCAGATTCTGGGCTTAGCTATTGTTCTTGCCACAAATGTAGTTCTTTTCTTTATTCTCAAGGGGTGAAAATTGAGATCCACTTGCTCAGTGGAGAGAGTCTGCATATCAGAGAATTCCACGGGGTCAAAGTGGGAGACGTTGCAACTGGAATCAGCAGCCAAGTGAGTATTGCATCTGGCAAGCTTTTCTACCAGGGGAGAGGTGGTGTTTGGAGTACTGAGAATTACCTCTAGCCTTCTATGGCCTTTTGTTTTTGACATTTTGTGTTCCACTACCATGTGTGATTGGCAAAGTCATGTCTCTTCACTCTCTTTCTCTGCTTTGCTTTCACAGATCCCAGTCTCTGCCTTTAGCTTCTTCACCAAGGAAGGCCAACCAGTTCGCTGTGACATGGAGATCCCGGACTCAGGCATTGAGCTTCAGTGCGCTCTGGCCCCTGATTGTAGCCGTGGATGGAGTTGGCGGGTCAAACATGGCCAGCTAGAGAAGCGACCATGAAGTATGCTGCTCTCATCCCTCTCCTCTAAATTGCCATTGTCCCAAGCCAGCATGGCAACTGGATAATGAGAGTGACATTTAGAGGGCTTAGATGGATACAGTTCTCCCTGCCCCCACCCCCCGAGTTTGCTGTGGTATTTGCATATAGATTAGTGATGAATATTATTGGTAGCACTTAAGTCTTAAACAAGCAGCATTACTCTTTTCTTTCTCCTCACTGTATCTGATCCTCTGGAAATGAAACCATTGAGGATCGTGGATAGAGGGCAGGAATTGAACATTGTGCCTTTACTTGTAAATGAATGTATTTCATCATATAATAGTCATACTTTTTTATCCCCTTTCTAATTGAAAAAAGGGACTGCAACTATTACATAATGAAAGAAAATCTGCCTTTGTTTCTCTAGTTTCTGATTTATTTTTTAAAAAATAACCTGCCTTATCTCCAAGATGGGAGGAGGGGGGATGATTCAGCCTCAAACAAACCGTTCAGTTTCTCTTTGTTTGTTTTTTAAACCAGCCTTGCCTCAGAGGAAGGAAGAAGGAAGATTCCCTCATCCTATTTTCTTTCTTCAAAGGCAAGGCAGCTTACAATATCCTGCATTTCCCACATCCAAGACTCTTAACAACTGTCTTGGACTACTATCACATGGAAAATCACTAGTTTGCTAGGCCAGTATGATTTCCACAAACCAGATCCCTGTGTTTTCTTGGGAAATGGTGGGTTAAAAAGAGAAGTCATTCAACTAGAACAGAGGCACTCAATTTATTTCTAGTTTTGCTGATTACCATATGTCATTGCACAATAGTCGCTGCTGCGTAATAATCACACCTCCATCTTTTGAGTGGCAAAACTGGTATTTTTGTCACACAGCCATTTGGGGCTGTTTCTCCCTCCCTCCCTCCCAAGGTGAGACTGTTATAAAACCTAAAATGGAGGTCTCAGGAACTTAGATCTTCCCTCCTTTCTCCAAAGAAATCAATTTCAGTACCAGACCCTCCTTGTCTGTGGAGAGCATGAAGTTACATTGGCCAACATACTCTTCCTTGCTTATCCCAGAAGTTTTTTATGAGTCTAAAATGTTCCCCTCAGAGGAAAGAATGGACTCTTAATATAGTAAGCAATAAGTATCTGATTTCAGAGAAATTTTCTCAACAGAAAAGAGAGCATTCTGCCGAAGCCATAGATCCATGCCAGCAGGAGAATGTAAATAAGGTGTACTGTACATATCAAATCTCAATTGTATACTCCCCCCCACAACTCACAGTGGATGACTGCAATTAAAATGTCACATGCATCAGCCTTGCATAAGTTTGGCTCATCGAATTAAATGTAGGCACTTTACCTCAGATATGCAGATGACACCACTCTGATGGCCGAAAGCGAGGAGGAGCTGAGGAGCCTTCTAATCAAGGTGAAAGAAGAAAGTGCAAAAGCTGGGCTTCAGCTAAACATAAAAAAAACCTAAGATTATGGCAACAAGAATGACTGACAACTGGGAAATAGAGGGAGAAAATGTGGAGGCCGTGACAGACTTTGTATTTCTAGGTGCAAAGATTACTGCAGATGCAGACTGTGGCCAGGAAATCAGAAGACGCTTACTTCTTGGGAGGAGAGCAATGTCCAATCTCGATAAAAGAGTAGAGACATCACACTGGCAACAAAGATCTGCATAGTCAAAGCAATGGTATTCCCTGTAGTAACCTATGGATGTGAGAGCTGGACCTTAGGGAAGGCTGAGCGAAGGAAGATAGATGCTTTTGAACTGTGGTGTTGGAGGAAAGTGCTGAGAGTGCCTTGGACTGCAAGAAGATCCAGCCAGTCCATCCTCCAGGAAATAAAGCCCGGTTGCTCATTGGAGGGAAGGATACTAAAGACAAAGTTGATGTACTTTGGCCACATCATGAGGAGACAGTAAAGCTTAGAGAAGACAATTATGCTGGGGAAAGTGGAAGGTAAAAGGAAGAGGGGCCGACCAGGGGCAAGATGGATGGATGGCATCCTTGAAGTGACTGAACTGACCTTGAAGGAGCTGGGGGTGGTGACGGCTGACAGGGAGCTCTGGCGTGGGCTGGTTCATAAGGTCACGAAGAGTTGGAGACGACTGAACGAATGAACAACAAAAACTTTACCTAAGGGGCAGGATTTTTATTTTTTTACCTAAGTGCCAAATTTCCTTGCTGATGGATTTTGGAGCCCACATGACCAGTAGAGGCCAGGCTAAAGCTGAAAGTGGTTGAGGCTTGTAGCTATATAGACATTTACGCCATGCATCAATAACAATAACATCTCTCTGTTCCAGTGTTCTCACCAATGTTACATTCATCCATGCTCTCCTTCATCTTCCCTTTTCTCTAGAATTAGTATGAGACACATAGCACTTTTTAAAGGATCCCCCTCTGGTTTGGGTTTATGTAGGAGAAAAAAAAAGAAGTAGGAGGAATGACCTCTATATCAGAGCCGGTCCTTCATGAGCTAAGAGATGTGGTCACATATTCCCTTGTCTTCCTTTTTCATTTTTATGCTGCAAGAGGCCAACATGGCTACCTCTTTGAAAACTCTCATATTTGTTAATGGTGGCATGCTATTACAGCATTGCAAAACAAGCTTACATGAAAGTGCCAAAGAGCAACGGAGGCTTGCAAACTGCAAAGACCAGGAGATATTTTTCAACTGCCAATTCCTTGAGTTGCTTTTTGAGCTGGTGCAGCATTTCAAAGAAAGCTAGGTTAAGAGGGTCCCAAAGGAACAGCAGCAACTAGGGACGATTAGTAAACCAGCAAGCTTTATCTTTTCACTTTTGGGGTGGTTTGTGGTGGGGTTTTGTTTTGTTTTTTTCAGTTGCAGCCACAGCATTTGTAGTTCTTTGGCTAGCATGTTTTTAGGCTGAACACACACAGTGACTACATGTCCCAGCATAGTTTTCTTAAGTGGGGCCCATTAAAGTGTTGTTATTACTGCATGTCTTCAATTCTAAGACACACTTTTTTACCATATAAGCTTCTCTAAAAATGGGGTGCATCTTAGAATTGCAGGTGTTTTAAATTTATACAAATAAAGCTTTTTCTTCTGTTGGTGGAACTGAAATTAGTATGTGTCTTAAAATCAATGGTATCTTGGAATCAAAGAAAGACAGGTTGCTTACCTGTAACTTTATTTCTTTGAGTGGTCATCTGTGAATTCACACAATTGGGTAATCTGCTTAGGCCATCACCTTTGGTAGAAAATCACACCCTGAATGATGTACCATAACAATAATTCTTATGTAAGCAGTCCATTGAAAGAATGTGGAATATAATACCACACAACACATGGACAACCACGAAGATTTAATTTCAATGTATAATCAAAAAGTCTGCATGAATATGCTTTGCAGGTTGTACAAAATAAAGCTTTGAAAAATGTCATCCAACCCTTTCCAGTCATTACGGATAGCAACATTCGATCTCTTAAAATGAGCCAGTTATGCTCTTTATTACCATGATTCGTGTTTTGTGTGTGACTCAGATTTAGTATGTGCGAAGAAGACTAGATAAGTAAATGAACTATCCAGAGAGTTCAACAGTGACAAATGCAAGATACTCCACTTTGGCAGGAAAAACGAAATGCAAAGATACAGAATGGGGGAATGCCTGGCTCGAGAGCAGTACATGTGAAAAAGATCTTGGAGTCCTCGTGGACAACAAGTTAAACATGAGCCAACAATGTGATGTGGCGGCAAAAAAAAGCCAATGGGATTTTGGCCTGCATCCATAGGAGCATAGTGTCTAGATCTAGGGAAGTCATGCTACCCCTCTATTCCGCTTTGGTTAGACCACACCTGGAATATTGTGTCAAATTCTGGGCACCACAATTGAAGAGAGATATTGACAAGCTGGAATGTGTCCAGAGGAGGGCGACTAAAATGATCAAGGGTCTGGAGAACAAGCCCTATGAGGAGCGGCTTAAGGAGCTGGGCATGTTTAGCCTGAAGAAGAGAAGGCTGAGAGGAGATATGATAGCCATGTATAAATATGTGAGAGGAAGCCACAGGGAGGAGGGAGCAAGCTTGTTTTCTGCTTTGGAGACTAGGACGCAGAAACAATGGCTTCAAACTACAAGAGAGGAGATTCCATCTGAACATGAGGAAGAACTTCCTGACTGTGAGAGCCGTTCTCTGCCCCGGAGTGTGGTGGAGGCTCCTTCTTTGGAAGCTTTTAAACAGGCTGGATGGCCATCTGTCAGGGGTGATTTGAATGCAATATTCCTGCTTCTTGGCAGGGGGTTGGACTGGATGGCCCATGAGGTCTCTTCCAAGTCTTTGATTCTATGATTCTATGAGAGCATGATAGTAGGACTGTTGCATCTGTACCAATCGTATATGAAGAGTTTCCTTGCCATTTCTCTAGCTGTTCATACAAGTCTGTCAAAACCAAGCATGAATATTGCTTTAAATATTTGCAAATGTGCAATGGCCTCTTTCTAAACTATGGAATAAGATAGCAAGGTCAAAGAGGAAAGCCACAAACAAAAAATATCAGTTGCTAAAACTTTATTAATCAACTTTGTCCCATAGGAGTAGCCATACTCTAGTCATGGGCATATGAGCAGTAAAGTGACTTGCTTCACATTGTCAGTACCAAAACACCCACAGTGTCAGCACCAACCACCTATTGCTTATCTTTTTTTCTTCTAAGCACTCTTGCATGGGTGTAGATACACTTCTGTCAAAAGGGGTGTGAAATGGCGTTAAAGTTATCCTAAGTCTGAGATGTGTAGAAGTAACACTTTTACATAAATTGAAGGTTAGAAGATAAATGTTACAGTGTTACTTATTGCTGGGATTAGATTCCAGGACCTCCCGCAATAAGTGAAAAACCGCGATGTAGGGATGCTCTATTTATTTTAATATTTATACATTATTTTAGTAGTTATACACTATTTTAAGTCTTTATAAATTTAAAATAAAGTAAAGGAAAGGATGGAAAGGCCCTTCAGGGATGGAAGGAGGGAGGGAGGACTGAGGAGGGAAAGTGGTTTGGAGAGCGGCGGCAGCGGCAAAACCCCACAAAACAGCAAAAATACCATGATATATATTTTAAATGAATATCTTTTGAAATCTGCGAAACAGCGAGGGAACACTGTATATCTCCCATCAGTGAGTTCACGTCCTGTGTAAAAAAAAAGGCCCTTCCTTGAATTCTTGGGAACCGAAAATGTGGCAAAGTTTCCCTCCATGTGCTCCAGAGGATTTTGTGAAAGCAAAGCATTACCACATAAATGCCCCACAGGCCATATATAGTTTGCAAGTCACATCTTCCCTTCCTCTTCCTTGGGCAGCAGGTAGCATTTTGAGCTACCCCTAATTTATAGGCGTTCGCCTATAAAGCCCTAAACGGTTCTGGCCCTACTTACCTC